GCTCTGGTAATAGACTTGAGTGAGCTTACGCAGTTTTCCATTTTCCGGATGGTTTTTTACAGCTTCTTTTTAAAGGATTTTGAAGAATTTGCACATATTTTGAAGGGATTTTAACCTTAGTACTTTATGTCAATAATAGTTTCTTAATCCAATGATGCTTTTAATCATCTAAATCTTTAATAAAGCACATCGTTTTAGTTTTTTAGATATTTCTTGAAACTAATAATAATGTTTAAGGAATAATCTTAGATCACAAATTAAACCAAATAAACCAAAGGAACACCTAAGCTCACCTGCAAAAGAATGTTCTCTTAAGCTCTGGATCAAATCTAAAAAACAAATTGCAAATTTCAACTTGACAACCTTTTTCCATTATATTTCAATTTAAAGTAAACACAATCATTCCCCCACCCGCTCTGTTTTCAGTGATGCATTGACTGGCAAATGGGAAAAGTCGAGTCTGTGATAATTAAAAGTCAATGTCGTAACACACTCCAGCACCGGCTGGCTGATACTTATCAATGAAGTGCAAGTAGCGAGATGTATTACAATCCATAATCGTTCCAGCTACGATGGCAATCCGTCACTCAGATTTCCGAGGAGTCGGAATCGGAAGGAAGCGGAGTCAGAGGCCAGCGGTGTTATATGGATATCTCTCGGAATAGAAATTTCAGGCATCTCGCCTGCTTCCTGCCCTTGCCCCTAAATGAAGATTTCCCGAAATCAGCTACCGTTGGTCTCCTGGTTCTCCTGGATTCTGGATCTGCCCTCGACATATCCCACTTGCTAGAACAAAAAGTGGGCAGGCAAAGGAACACGGAAAGCGAAACGAAAACTGAAATACGGCTGCATCATTAAATTTAATATGATACTCATTTAATGAAATTGTTGCCGATTTGTTTTGAAAATACACGCGCTTGCTCCGCACTTCCCCCCTTCCTCCGTGCCTCCTTTGAGTTGAGTTTGACGCCTCCTCCAAGGAAGCACGGCGCGGGCGGTGACTCCCCTGGCCCTCGGTCTGAGTTGGGTTTCAGTCTGGCCTTTCAGTCCGGGCTTTATTTTCAGCTTCAGTTCCTCTGCTCGTGCCAAATGCGGGCGGGCGGCCTGGGGGCGTGGCTGAGGGAGTGCAATATTGCGAACATGGCCGGATAATGACGACAACGCCATCGTCATCGTCATTGCCATCAAAGCTAAAGTTGGCTCCAAAGGAAATATGCACTGGCCGCAGGCTGTGCGAGTGGGAAAAAGCCAGGAAGATGAGGGATACACTGTAAGTTATGGGATGAAGGATCACAGGATATTACTATATGGGTCGCCACTTGGAGAATTTAACAAGGTGATGCATTTTTTTTAAGTTCAAATTTATTTCTTACTCAAATTTCAACTCTTATTTACTTTTTAATTTAACTTAAGTTAAGTTCTTGAAGTTTGCTATTAAAGAAATCGATCATAAATAAGTCAAAATTACATCAATAGTTTAATATCAGGGAAACTAGATAAATATCCTTGTTTTACGATTTTCTCTCAGTGCCTCCCGGCATCGTAGTTAGTGGCAAAAATCATTCTAATGACAGCAAAACGTAAAAAGCTGGGAAAGTGTTAAGTGGTTCCTCATTAAACTTTATGTACTGCTCTCTGCCCTGCTCGCCGCCGTCTCGGTTCGGCTCGGTCCGCTCCTGTCCCGCTCCTCGGATTGGGTTTTTGCTGTTGCTGCGGGGGCGGCCGGCAGGATGGGGCTTAAACGATTGCCCGACCAGCGTCATTAGCACTTTTAACCGCATATTAAATTTAGTAAAGCCTTGATTAATGGGCTCGCACTTCATTTATGTGCATTTGACCGGTTCCGAGTTGTCTTTACAGTTTACAGTTCCTGTACCGGTATCCGTATCTGGTCGCATCCGTAGCCGTGCTACCGAAAATCTTATCTTTCAATGAGTCGCAGAGACAAATGACACGTGATTTTATTTGATTTACTTACATCTGCAGCTCAATTTTCAGTCTGACTTCTGGTGAGTCGAGTGTCTCGCTTCCCGCTTTTTGTCGCTGGCCTTTCTTATGGCCAACAGTTACAGATACGGATACAGATACAGTTACAGTTACAGATACAGTTGCCTGCCTCTTCATTTGGGCCATTATCCGAAATGATTCGATCATTAGCGACGTCGTTCCTGGCCACAGACGGGATTGTTGTGTTCTTTCGGCATTACGGGTAATTACTGGAATGTTGTGACAACATTTCCCTGCCTTGTCTTCAAATTACTTAATTTTAATGGGTGGCCATATCGCACGAAAAGATTGAGACATGTAGGGAAATTTATACGTCCTATTGTAGGTGGGTGGTAACCTTGATTCATTATTTACTTTGATCAACTCAACAGTTGGCGGCGATAATTGAAATCAAATGGGAATATCAATTCTATCTGATGGAATTTTTATGAAGAGAGACAGAGGGAGAATTGAATTAACTTTAACAGTATATTTAGAAACCGATTGCTTGCTTGATATTTGGTAATTTATTGAAAAAGTTGATCTAGAGCACCTTATTATATCAATTTGTTTGTATCAAAAATCTTTAAATACAATGCTATTAATTAGGCAAGAACTATAAGTGTTTTCTTCAAAACGGAACTCTTTTTAATTAAGTTACAAGTTTTTTATTTTGTGATACAATTGGCCCAATACACATTAAATTCTTTAGCTATAGAAACATCAACATATTTTGAAAATCTACTATATACAAACTATATTGATATTTGGAAAACCCATTTTTAAGATTTAGTATTAATTTATGTAACCCCTTTAATTATTAAATAAATTAATTAGCTGAAAGTTTGAATAGCTGTTATATTTAGCTACTTTGTTTTTACTTTTTTAGTTTACTTTGAAATTAAAAAATTGATCAATTAATTGAAATATATAAATAATTTGAAATTTAAAACTTTATTCTTGCAAACTTTTTTTAGATAGCAAATTTAAAACATTCTTTTTTTTTAACCAAATATTTTAATTTTCCATTTAGGATGATTAAAGTAGTTTTACACTTATAAAAAGAAAACTAATAAAACCCTTTTTAAAATACTTATCACATTCATGCACTTTCTTTTTAAATCATATTTTCATAGAAACATAACCACCGGCGGCAAGTGGCCGGCGGACTATCTTTTGGATCGCCGGCAAATGGTTGCTCCTACGGCATGGCGCTTCTGGTGGGAAGCAACAACAGCAACTCCGCACTCACACCAGCGAGCGGAGCTGTCGGTGCGGCGGCCATATTGAAAGTCAGTCAAGTATTTCGAAACCCAGGGGCGGAGTCAGGCGACGCGCATGCCTCCCGCCGGTGTGTGGGTGCGAGCGAGGCGACAAGTGTGTGCGTAGAGTGCGTCGCATGCGGAGCGGCCATGCCACCGTTATGCCGGCGAGCTGAGATGGTATTGAGCGGCGTGGCGCTGCCTCGACGTCGCATGCGCATCGCACGGCAGAGAAGGAGGAACTGCCCAGGGCCGCTAGCGGGTCCGGGTTTCAGGTCCGGTCGCGAGCTCTCGAACTCGAAATCGAATTCGAGCTCGAATCCACGCTGGTGTGGGTGCGCTCTCCCAGGTGCATTTCTATGTATTGGTGCGGCAGTGTACTGGTATGGGTGCGATCTCCGAATTTTCGCAGTTCGAAATCGGTTTCGAACTCGACTCAAAACCGGACTTGTCAGAACTGGTTTGCTCTGGGCCCGTCTACCTGCCAGCCTGCCCGCTGTTCTGCGTCTGTATCTGTATCTGTATCCGATACCTTCACATGTATCTGTAGGCTGGCCCGACTGCGACTCCAATATCCCGGCACAACCACTGCATTCGGGTTAGGCGGTTGCCCGAATCGCTTTTTGGGAGTTAATATTCTATTAGAGGCTCATTTGCGGGATTGCCAGCCAGGATGTGTAATGGCAATGGGCTTTCTGAATTGAATCGGACTCCGGGGCAGTTGTTACAAGCTCGTTCGAAGTTTGTTTTCCACTTCTAATTACGGCCCAGCCGTGGATGCATGATTTATGTGCTCCCTCAATATCGCCTTGATGGATCGATCGACGGGCCGGCCGGCCGGGCGATCGATTGATGGATTGTGTGAACCCGGCATCCAAGAGCACTTGTCCGCTCGCAGTCTTCATTATTGGCCCGAGTGGATTTCTGACATCTTGCTTTGTCTTCCACAAATTCTCAACCGGTCTCAATTTGCTAGCCGTAATTAATGATTTATCTCAGGCGTTTTGAAGTGTTGTCTTAATTCCGGCGAACTCCGAAGTGATTATTGATAGTTTCTCCATCGCACTCACTCGATCCGAGAGATCCGAAAGATCCGAAAGTGTGAGACGTCTCAAGTGACTTGGCATCCATCTCCGATTGGCCCTAGGCAACAAATGTTGCACTTTCCTTGTTTACAGATGGCGAAGGTTACTGATAGATGATACCTCAGGCATTTACATCATTATTTTTGGCCACTTGTTACTGATCGCTCAGCCTTTTATTGGGCATGCGGAACACAACGTCTCTAAATTAGACACATTTGTCTAAGAGTCGTAAACAATTTGTGAATTTCATTTAAATAATTTCTAAAGAGCTTTTCCTAGGGGATTTTTGGCTTTGTTCTTACAATTGCTGTTTTATTTCTTCGTGACTGCAGTATTTACTATAAATAATATAAAATAAAAAGCGTTTATTCAAAGTTGAAACCGAAATATAATTCAATTGAATATATTTTTGTATTGTAGAATCGTTTAAAGTAAATATTAATAGAAACATTTCTTTCAGGTATAAAATCTCTTGAATTTTACAAGTCAAATAACTTTAATTTTTCTTAAAATGAATCCTAGTTGTATTGTCCATATATACTACACTTAAAAGACTATAAAATAAAATATATATTATCCATATACTTAAAAGACTATAAAATAAAACTGTAGATATAAACAATTTCCTTATATTTGTTTTATTAATTTAACTTATTATTTTAAACAATGATATGCGGCATCAACAGAATATCCTTTATAGCTACTCCACCAGACATTTCATTATAATATTGCCAGATTAATATCATCATATAAACATTGTGGATGATTTAGTTAAAATTACAAAACTGCCCCTCGAATATATATTTGTAATAAGCCATAGAACTCATTATCACACCCCATCGAGTGCAAGATTCTCAGCATAAATGTGTTTACATTCATATAGTACTCTACAGCTACAGTCTAGGTAGGAATCTTAAGGCTAATTCTGTTTTGTTGGGGCCCAGAAGAAACCATTTTTAATTAACTTCAGCAGACCGAAAACCAAATAGGAACTCAAACTTGGCAGAAAATCTTGTGGGAATAGATGCGTCCTCTCGATGTCGCTGATTCGGCCATGGAAATGGAATATTCACGCTCGCATCCGTGAGTCCAAATTGGCAGCTGCTCAAAACTGTGGCTATTTATGTCAACTAGGGATGCGGCGGACACCTCGGAGGATGGCTGCTGGGAACTCTTGCAAGCGCAAACATTCTGCCGAATTATTCATGTGATTCGGGTGACACAAACGTGAGCACATTCACTGAATACGCGATTACAAATGGCCGGCGATTATGCGAACAATGCGAATTCAATTTGTTTGAGCTCCTGCCTGGCCCCGGAGATCGGGTTGAGTTCAGTGAGCGGCCAACGGGGTTTATGCGGGTGGAGCAGCTGCTGATCGTGGTCTTTGGGTCCGGATCTTGGCTCAGGTGTCTGGGTTGGCCACTGGCCGTTGCCCGTTGCCCGTTGGCCGGTGTGTCGTTAATGCCACGTGATTAATCGCTTATTATGATGTCAGATTAATAAGATCGTTTTCAAAAATGGTCCGAGTTCGGGGCCTGCAAAAATAACAAAGTAAATATTCAGTAGGCCATTCTACTTGAAATTGTTATATCAATTCAGTGCTTACCCTCTGACATAATCGTTGGCCTTAGAAAGCCACGACTCCATTGGCCATTCACGGATTGAAAATCACTGGAAATAAATAAATTGTTAATGGAAGTTTTAAATAACTTAAATCTCAAAAACTTACCATGAAGTTGTTGTCTGTTTAAAACCCCAAAAGGCAACCAATTCAATGAAAAACTACGCATACTTAAATTTTTAAATACTATATTTTTATTATAAATATTACAAATAAAAACAAAATCTCATTTGTAATTTAATTATAATTTTTCTTTATGCTTTTTCGCTTTGCCTTGGCAGCTCTTAAACTGCACTCCTCGTCTTCTTGTTTACACTAAAGTTTAAATTTTATTTACAACAAATTGTTTAGCTTCCACATTTCGTTTCAATTTCGCACAAATGTTTAAGTATATTTAATTTTTTTTTTTTTTGTATTTCAAATATATATATTTTTCAACGCTTTTGAATTTTGTTTTATGTTTTTTTTTTTTTTGTGAATTTCTACATTCTATATTTTTCTGTAATTTTTCCAATTTTTTTCATGAAATTTTAGATTTGAAACTTATACATTTAGTTTCTTACAGAATGAGGCCGAAAGTTACGTATCTGGATTGAGTTGAATTCCGCTCTCAAGGGTTGTTATAGCCAATGTAAAGGTTTTCTTTCGATTTTCGTTGACTTTTTTCTCTGCTTGCAAATCACAAATCGGGAATCGGTTTTTCGGGAAAGGTTCTCTCAAGGGGATTTACAAAACGAAACGCTCTACAGAGTTACATGTTTTATATTAAGTTGTTTAATTATATATATCTACATATAAACATATTATGCTTTATGCTTTTCCCTTCCCAACTTAATCTTTTCTCCTACGTTCCTTTGACTTTGGTATATGGATTTCCACAGATGGCGTGGAAATTGAGTTTGAGTTACGTACATACATTTAAATAGTTGTTAGGCGTCTATAATCGTATTGAAATCGCTCGGTTCTGCCTTCAAGGGGTTTAATGCATAATAATGCATTCATTTTACTACTTTACAGGGGTTTTGTCTGCCTTCATTATTTATACATATTCTTTGTGTTCTTCTTTTAACAATTTATAATTATTCCAATTCATATTTTATGCATTTCGGTATACTTTATATCCTTTTCGACCTAATTCGAGTTTTACTTTTGCAACAAACTAAAAATTGCACAAATAATTAAAAAATAAAATAAAATAAAAGAAGTAATTGAGAAGCTCCCAAAATGGGGCTCCAGTTGCGAGTTTTAAAACGATTAATTTGCCAAAAAAGTTTTGCCAATATCCTGCGATTCTTTCTGTCTGTGAATAGGTTTTACTTTGAATTGTTTACTTTAGGCGACGTCTTTCTGCGGTTTTGGTATCTCATTCTCTAAATCTGCGACATTCACTTGTATTATCTTGGTTTATGAAATAGTTTTGGGGGTTCTAGAACCAGCATGAAATGGATTTCGACGCCACTTGGATTTTTGTAGATTTTTATTGGGTTTTATTTCGTAGTTTTGCGCTAGGATTGCTACAAACATTGATTTATTAAGGGGTTTACGTTTAGGTTTAGGGTTTATGCTGGGTGTATACATATATAAGTTAATCGTACAGTACTTATGACGCGTAGAGCTAATGTTATCGTGTATATAGTATATATGCTTCATATATATTTATTTATGTATAACTCTAACTCCGCTCCTGGCTCTAGCTTTACTTGGTATCATGTATAGTTATCCATATATTTATGTGTATATATATGCATTATAGTTAAATATAGCTTATTTAGATCTGAGGTCACATGAGTTGGTTTTGTTTGAGTTTTACGCTTTACTTGTATCTCCACCGCGATCGGTATCTTCACGTCTACGCTATCTTATTTCGCCTTCTTCGTGTACAATTAAATAATAAGTAGAAAATAATAACAATTAACTAAGTTGTAGGTAGAGTTCTCAGCTCTGCTCTTTGTTTAGTGTGCTCCACGCGCAGTTCAACGGATTGGGTAGATAGTGGGTGTCCTCTGGGATCGATCGGAGCACTCGTAAATTCATTTGCGCTCTCCAAACTAACGTAAATTGTATTTAGATAGAAATTTCATTTAACTGGTGAAGTGGTGAACGTGAACGGATCAGCCTGCTCTGCTAGGGATTCACTGGGGACTGTTGGGTGGCGTTATCTCGTCGCCCTCGCCTCCGGATCCCGGCTCGCCCTTCGTCTTGTTCTCCTTCTTCCACTTCATGCGCCGGTTCTGGAACCAGATCTTGATCTGCCGCTCCGTGAGGCACAGGGCGTGGGCGATCTCGATCCTTCGCCGGCGGGTCAAGTAGCGGTTGAAGTGGAACTCCTTCTCCAGCTCCAGCGTCTGGTACCGCGTGTACGTCTGTCTTCCCCGTTTGCGTTCTGTTGGTTTGGAGTAGATAAAACAATTTTCACAATTAAAATCAATGCAACGATTAACAGTCCACCAAAATCAACAACAAATTCTACTATACATCTACAGGTCCAATACTACGGTGCATACAACAACAAGAGCCCGAATAAGGTACACCCTACATACTTGTTTCTCTCGTATCTCTCGCCTTTGTGCCCCCTCCACGCGGAGAATCGGATGAGAGGGATCGGGTCGGGATCGGGATTAGGGAGCGGGGCAACCCAAAACCACATGAAGCAAGACGCTGCTGCGACTCTGAAACTGAGGCTGATTAAAAGACAACCTTACCGAATTCGGATATTTGTACTTGTCAAAAAAAAAAAGAGGGAAAAACCAGGGCCCACAACAGGTCTGTGACGAGGGGCGGCCGCCGAAGGGGTCGTCTCTGCCGCGCTCCTCGGTCGGCCATCCCGATAGGAACTCTGGGTTTAATTTTCAACCAATACTCTTTCTAAGGCTAGCATGACTGGGAGATCATGATGATTTTTTAAGCAGTTAAAAAAAAATCGTATAAATAAGGTGAGCTAATAAACCCTTAAAATGGGCAACCAGAATTAATGAAAATATTCTTATTAATAATTATTTTCTTTAGAAATTGTTGGCTCTATATTTTATATTCAAAAATTCTGGATAATCATTTATATATTCGCTTTACTTATAATAGCTTTACTTCCTTTTCTCAAAGAAGGGCATCCCTTCTCCGTTCTGACCAAGAAAATCGGGTTTCACTTGTGGATTAAAACTCGGCGGAGATTTCATGGACATCAAGCGGCGAGCAGACAAGGTAACTAATTATGCCCCAATGCTGTCTGTCCGTCCGTCTCCCCCGACTGACTGTCCGACTGTCCGTATCTTTGTCCGTTAAGCGGAGTGGTATCATGGCTGTGATTCAGTCAAGTGCAGTTTTACCTTCGGGACCCGCTTCACGCCGCCGCCCCCCTTAGGACGGTAGCTGGGCATAACTGTAAAATAATTCGGCATAATTACGGGAGCAGGGTGCCCCAACCACCCCTGCCTTGGCTCCATTTCGAAAGCAACCAACCAAATGAGTTCGGCGCCTAATGACACTTACTATAATTATAATTTTCGGTAATGACAAAAAAGAGCGCAGTGAAAACGGCGGGCAAAATATGTCAAATATAATACGCAGCAGCAAATATTATAATTGTCAATGGCCGAGGCGGAGGCAGAGGCAGAGGTAATTGAAATGGGTTGCTAGCGTGAGAAGCCACTTTCGGGCGGAGTTTTCCTGCCTATATCTTGAGGGTTTGTTCTGACTCTGACTCTTTTTTTTCCTGTTTTGTTGTAGTTCGTTGTGGCTTTTGTGTATTTTTGGATTGGGTTTGGAAAATGTCCGGCCGGAAATTGAAAGGCGGCCACCGCAGCATTGGCATTGCGGTGGCTCTTGGCCAACCACGCCAAGCGGCAATCAGTGGAAGCCAACGCTCACCCTCACCCTCACTCCTCACCGAAAAAAACCATCCTGCCCGAGGTGGGCAGTCTTAACTATTTTTTAATAACATCTTCAGCATTTGTCTTGCTCAACTCGCTCGTCCAATTTTTTTCTTTTTTAATATTTTTACGTATTTTTTTGTGGGCTTCCATCTCGGGCTCGAGGTCATTACATCATAAGCTCTTTTATGTATTTTTCTCGTAGTTTTTTCTTTTTGTATTTTCAGCGGCATCCATTAAGGCGCGCGAATCCAAATCGCATAGAACCCGGCGAGGGGGGGACTTGGATAAAAAGGGGTGAGGCTGAGCGGCACAGCGGTGGTCAGAGCAGCTACCTTCTTTTAAATGACACGGCTGATGCCATGTCTATAACCCGAGGCGTTCGCATTTAATCATCATCAGTTAGACGAGTCGCTGTGGCGGCAAAAAAATCTTGAAAGATTTGTGGCAAAAAGCGTGTGCGTGGTCATCCCCCTCGGCATCTCCACCCATCTGCGAAGAATCCACGGGGGGAAGTCCAGAGAGTTGGGTATTAGGAGCGGATTAAGAGCGGAATAAATGGGCTGGACTTTCACCCCAGTGGGGGGACAAAATCAGTAAAAAAAGAGAGGTACTTGGAAATAGAGAGATCCCGAATATTGATTCAGGCAGGTGATGTATCTCTAAACTAAATATTAACTATTAAGTTGTATAGTCAACCCACCTTAAATATTTCTTTCAGACATCCTAAGATATCTTTATCAAGTATAAAATATAATTTCAAGCGGAAAATTTATTATAATACAGACAAGAACAAACACACATTATGTATACTGCCTTCCCAACCGATCCCTATCTTGCTCTGCAGCTGGCACATTTTCAACACATTTCCATTTCCATTTCCATTTGCATTTCCACTCCCATTTCCCGCAACAGAAGCTTTGCTAATAATTAGCAACACAAAGCTGTACGCCTCCCCCTCGTGCACTGCAAATAAATGATTATTTTAATTGATGAAAACACCTACAAGCTCTGGCTCTGGCCTCTGCGATGAGTATGCACATACTATTAAGCCGGGATCCCTGTGGCAAGAATGGAGCCAAGGGGTACTGGGTTTTTTTGTTTTTGCTGAGAGGGCCAGCAGTAAGTGGTTGGTTAGAGGGGCGTGCATTGGCAATTTAAGAGCGGGCGCTCACTGAAATTTGTTTTTAATGATGCCTTTGCACATTTCATGTGGCCATCGCTCAGAAAACAAGAGAAGAATGTCTACAAAAATATATATATATACTATATAGGAAGGTGGAAAAAGTGAAAAAAGAAGTTGAAGAATTCCTGTTTTTTTTTTCTTAGATACTTGAAGATCAGTCGCGGCGCCCATTTCTGCCCAGGAGCTTCGAAATTGAGCGCTGAAAAATGATTATAAACGCATTAATGGCGCTTTGGGGAAAACACGACGAGGAAAGAGGGGAAAGATTCCCAGTCTCTGAGCCCGAGGTGGAGGGTATCAACAGCAGAAATATAATAAAGGTGAAACAATTAATATGAAAAAGAGTAGCGATACATGTGAAGTACCAAAGGCAAGACCTCTGCCACGCCCCCGCCCATGTATACTATATATATATACCTATAGTATATACATATCTGTATAGTGACTGAGTGGTTGACTGACGTACCGAGTGGACCGGGAGGGGCATTAATGCTTTTTGATATGAAAGCGTATTGTAATTAAATTGCGATTAGGCCACCATTTTAACCATTTTACTCGTTTATTACACTGCTCCGGCTCCATAATGGATTTTATTTCATTTTCTTCCCCTATCCCCCTGCTTCCCCTCTTCCCCTCTGGCTCTCTATCAGCTGCCTCCTGGCACACACAATTACATTAGTGGCACGGCGTGTGTAGAGTGTGCGGTGTGTGTCGGTTAACGTTTAAAGGAAATCATTAAAATAATTGCTAACAACATTTTATGGAATTCGTTGAAGCAGGAAAAAAATTAAAAACATTATTTAATAGCTCGACACAACAAAAAATTCTATTTTATAATGCCCATAATGAATTATTATATTGGCTGAGATTGCTTTTTCATCAATCACGAGCCCCGTCGAGCGGAACTAGAACAATGGCCAGCATCGTGAGAGGAAGTTGGGGAAAATTAAATCAAGAGGATGGCTCGCATGAAAGTAGTGAGAGTCTTGGCTTGGTTTTACCCGTAATTATTTGATGTATTCTTTACAAATATTAAGTGCATATTAATTTAAGAATATGTTACTAATTACACCTTAGAAAGAAATTTCTATTAACTAAAATAACTACCATTTACGCAAGAAACTTCTTAATAATAAATTCTGTTAATGAACTGAAGCTCTTAATCTTAAAGCTGATTTAAACTAATTTCATTTGGCCATCAATTGTTCAAATTCCCATTATTATTGGCCAAATTAGATTGCCTTATAGCCAATAACCTCCAATATAGATGGCTTGGCCCCGGGCTAAGGCCAAATCCAATCTCCACCGAAGTTGGGTGGTCACCGTCTCAGCCGCAGTTTCTTGGCCAGAAAGCCACTCGTCATGCAACAAATACAAAAATGCATTTAGCAGCCAACAAAACGAAACGTAAACAAGTATCAGAGAGGTCTGGGCGAAAAAAAAAAGCTGACATCAAATGCGAGTAAATGTTTTTTTAATTGCGGAAATTACAGACAAACGCGAGCCGCCGCAACAAAAGCTGGAAAATTATTATTATTTATGATCGTAAGTTGATAAATTTTTCACCCAGCTGAAGAGTGTTCGTGTGTGGCATTTTGCAAGAATAAAAAAGAGGCGAGGCCGTGTACCGCTGGTTGATGTCACTCCGTTCTCCGGCCTGTTCTAGTGCGAATCTGCCGACTCATTCGATGACTTTGTGCTAAATAAATGGGGAGGCTGGGAGAGGGGGTAGACCAAGGCGGGAAGGTGGCTGGATCAGCGGGCGGGTGTGAGATTTTCCAACCAAAAAGTTTTTCTCCCCTTTGATTGTTTTGCATATTTGACGTATTTTTGCCGTCGCAAACTTTTTTCACAACCTTTGGGGACCTGACCGAAAATGGCACGAAAAGGAGCAGAAATAAATATAACCCGGAGTCCTTCTGAGGTTTGATGTCTTTGACTGCCCCACCAGCAATTTCTCTCTTTTTGTTACCGCTATTTTTTGTATTTTTTAATTAAGTCCAAGAATATTCGTTTTTATTTCCAGAGGTAAGAGTAACAATTAAATATTGCCATTGACCATTTGATCATTTGTTAGCACTCTTTTTTTGGTTGTAATTTTCATCTGGTCTGCCCTTTTCCATCTGGTTATAATCTCAGGAGAGTCGCAGGAGACAGCATTTTTAATTTGGGACTTGTTAAGCACTTAAGAGGGTTAAAAATCGACAAAAGTTGACAAAAAATGGAACCCCACAAAGAGAAGAGCTGAAAGGATCGCCAAGGAGTTGACTGGGGGGCTTATAAATGCATTCATTTCGGGCATTCCGACATTCGGGGACAAGTGGAGGGGGG